CCACTGAGGCATTGTTTTGTGTATAATACTCTAGAAACTGATAAACTTTTATTAAAAACTAACTTCTCAATTAAATGACATTGTGTAACAAAAAACTTTACCTCAGTGTCAAGTAACGACATCTGTTGAGCAGAAAATTATTTACGGTTTGAGAGATATGATGACAAGAGATCAAGTAGGGCATTATGTATCCTGTAATATTTAAAAGTTCAATAATCAAAATTTTATGATTTACACAGTCAATTGCCTTTAAGTTTTGAGAGGTCACAGAAAACGCCGGCAGTGGACTTGTAAAGGGCTATAATTATGATGATGATGTTTTTTTTTTAATGTTGGAGTCATAATTTAGTTTAGCTTAATGACCCTTGTATCTAGAGGGTACTGAAAATCTTCGTTGTATTTTCCGCTACGTAATTTCCAGAATGTTTGTGCAGATGAGATGCTATTCTAGTAGCGATATTTTATAATATTTTATTTTTGGAACTACCGTTACCGTTCAGCCTGTCAAAAGTCCACAGTTAAACAAAGGCCTACCATGTAGATTGCCATATTTGTCACACAACCCGCCAAGGGATGGCAACCGCAATTTTTAATTTTTATTAGTAGGTATATGGGGTAGTGTATATTTTACATTGCCTCTATGGACCAGGCAGCTCAAATGACGGCTCGGTGCATAATGGGCTTGACCTCAACAATGCCTTTCGAGGATGACTAAAAACTAACGTCGAAAATGACAAACGGGCATATATAACAACAAATAACAACAAATGGGCTTTAGTTAAAGTTTCCAACGTAAGTGACAAAACGAAATTGATTCATTTGTATCAAACTGGTAAAATAAAGAAACAAATAAAGTGTATAATTTTTATTAGTAGGTATATGGGGTAGTGTATATTTTACATTGCAACACAGTGGAAGTAAATATTTTATTGTTATACCCCATTTAGTTACTTTTATTAATAAAGTAACTAAATATTAATAAAAGTTCAAAAAGTTTATAAACGTTCCACTATCAACATAGCCTGATGGGCCTCTCCTCACTTTGCGCATCGGTGAACTTTACATATTTCAAGGATATTTCTTAGTTTTTTTTAGTTTACTTTTTACTTCTTCTTCTTCATCAGCCCGTTAAAGTCCATTGCTGGACATGGGCCTCTCCCGATGTAGGCAGAATTTGCCTTTGTCGTCACGCTCGGCTGGCGACTTAACGACCGCAGTGCGAGACTGCCAGACGTCTCGCACCGTTAATTATTTCACCAGGATCGAATGAATAGGCAATTGTCTTTTCCGTTAACACTTCAGCTTATTTATTAATATGAAACCTAATAAAGAAAGCTTTAAAAAACAACATTAATCGTGAAAAAACATTTATTGTGAAACTCACACCAACAAAGAAAGACGGAGCGCTGCGTACATTTCAAATGATGTCGAAGCTGTGCTCAACTTCTTGACACACAATCACGCACACATCTTTCTTCTTTCTTTCTTTATTAGCCCTTAAAATTTACTCCTGGACGCACACATATTATTTACCTAAAACGTAAAATGTTGCGATAGATATATGTAGTTGAACATGATTTTGGTTTCACGCAGCGCTCCACCTTTCTTTCTTTCTTTCTTGGTCCGAGTCGTGGAAAAATATTTATTATGATCCAGCTTTGCGATAATTTGTATATACACAAGGCGGGGCAGTCAACCAAGTGTCGGATTACCTCCAACCGTAATTAATATACATTTCCTAAATTTGCCTAATTGCCAATTACCGCTTAGTAATTGGTTTAACGTTAAAAATTAATGTTCATTTATTTAGGTCGAAATATAACTTTTTTTTTGTTTTAAAGGCAACTTTAAAATAAAAAAAGAGACAAATTAATAAGAATATTTTAAATTTATTTTTATTTTAATTTGAATAGCTGACAGGAAGTAAGGTTTCAAAATAAGGGACCTGTAGTGCAGTGCAGTGCATACAACGCTGCTCAAGCGCGATGACATATTTTAATCCCCGCTAAGGATTTAATTATTAATATGTATGTATATTATTAAGCGTCGATCGCTGTGCATTGCAATCATCAATTTCAATGGTGCCAACGTCGAATTTCCAAGTTTAGGTATTAAATGTTTAGTTTAGATTTCTTATCACGAGGTTCAATTTTTTTTTAAACACAGAGTACATAAATATAAATACGTACCTATTATTACTGTGAAATAAAATTTATCCCCAGTGAATAAAGTAGGTAGGTAGGCCATGGAGGTCTAATGGAATCAGTAAATTTAAAATGTTGGTCTAACATATAAATTTAGATTTTGTTTATAAATGAAGCAGATTATAGAGATTATTATTATTAATAACATGTATAATTGCAAGTATTCAATGATAAATGTATTTTCGGCAATCAATTTAGAGAATTGAATAGAACTGGATGTGAAACCACCAATTAGGTACCACAATTTTATATTATTAAGAATACATTGGTTTTTATAATTAAAAGTGTACGGTCTTATTTTGAAGTAGATTTTTTACTTTTTATTGAAAGTTTAATCTTTTATAACCTTGTTTTGGTTCAGAGCAGAAGAATTTATTAGTCACGACTCTACGTAAAATTTAAATTCAATTAACGCCAGTACGTGATGACGTCATATTCCAATCCATAGTGTAGTTTATCTAAACTTGTCCGTACCTAATATAATTTAAACATATTATGTAAAAATATCTATTTATAGGTACATAATGTTATTAATTTAATTGTGCGTTACAATATAAAACCATGTTCAGAGTTTTTGAATGATTTATGCTGTGTTGTAGGTTTTAAAATATTTTTGGGGAGAGAAATAAAGATGTAATATTTATAGAGATCCGTTCCATTTCGAAATTTCATAGAAAAATTTGTTGCCTTCAATTCTCACCTGTACTCAATACCATTTAACAATGATACAATTTAATATATAAGTAATTCAAATTCATGAAAAATACAAAAATTTAAATACTCAATGGATATTTAAATTGTCATATTACATTCGATAAAATTTTATTTCATTGTTTCCTGAATGTTTGTGCTTTCTTTGATATCACAGTATTTTCGAATACGAATAACAAAGTGTATGGATCAGGCAGCTCAACTGACGGCTCGGTGCATTATGGACTTGACCTCAACAATGCGTTTCGAGGACAACTAGAAACTAACGTCGAAAATGACAAACTTAAGGCTTTAGTTAAAGTTTCCAACGTAAGTGACAAAACGAAATTGATTCATTTGTATCAAACTGGTAAAATAAAGAAATAAATAAAGTGTGTATTCCGAGTTTTAATAGACAAACTCGCATTCGAAAGCTAGTCTTAATTATAAATCAACATAAAAATGAAGTGGTTTTGAATATGGGTTCGAAAGTTGTAATTAAAAGCGGATCGTATACGATAATCGTAAAACGTTAATCAAATGGTTTGGGAGACTTATGGTAGCTCTTGTGATCACTTGGTAGATCTGTGTCGGCATTATACATTACAACTTCTTGAGATCTGTCTAAAATTATGAACGATGATGGACAAGATCGTATAACTAACATTAATTCGTCCATTGCTCTAGTCTACTACTTCACGGAAACACTCCACAATACTGTCTCGAAATTACAGGGGCTTTACTGGAAGACCATTGTAATCTACTGTACTCGCTAGGCCTTATTCCTATTTATTTCCAATGTTTTAGGAATTTGGGCACTTTTTAATGTAAAATATTTCAAATCAAATAAAACGGTTTTATTACTGTTTACAGGATTTATAGAATAATGGACTTCCATTTAAATGGAAAATGGGCAAAGAGTTCGGATTACTTGAACATATTTTCAAAAAAAAATTTGAATTTTTCTGCTAATGAACGGCAATTTTATATGTATGACTGATATGAAATATTTTTAAACTATTAAAGTAGTGGATAGTTAAAACCTAAAAATAATATTGACTCTGACACCATTAAAATTTGGCTATCTTTAATCAAAATATTAGTATAAAATCAAATACATCCGGAAATACATCGTAATAAAGGTCAAAGGATTATACGCATTTCATTTTCAATTTCTACGACCTAGTACTTAATTAATAGTTTTATATTGTGTACTTTTCGTAGTTCGTTGAAAACTATTACACTAAAACGTGTTACAGTATTTTTGGCGTGCGGATACTTATTGTGCTCTTGTTTCTTGTACATTTCGCTTCATGAATTAGCTCGGAAACGTAATACCGATTACACGAGGAAATCGAACCGCATCCGCGCACGTAATTTCTCATTAAAAATCAATACCCTTTGATACCTACATAATAATATTAAACAATAGCAGTAGCGGCTTTCAATTTTCTGCAGAGAACATTACAGCACAGGGTACATACCTACTCTAATTTAATTAAAAGTGTATTAGTGGTGTATTTTTAACAAAAAAGGTCAACTGATAGAACTTTACTACTTCATTTACCATAATCAACAGTAATTTGCAGATCTTGATCAGAATCGACAGCAGACGACTTCCAAATTTTATAAATAATAATTGTCCACTGTACAGTAAAAATAGAACTAAAATAGAGCAAATGTAAGATAAATGCCAACCTAAATGTCACTCATTTGTTCTTTCCTAACGATGCCCGATGAAGGCCCGATGTAACCGCTTATACAATAACATCTGAGCAATACGCTTGAGTGTCAATGTCAAAGACAAGGGGCAGTCAAAACACATGCGGGACTCGAAAGCCAACAATTTGTGATTTTGTACATACATTAGCTACATATATTATACAATTTTTTTATTTGTTGATAATTACAGAAAAGTTCAACCTTTTTCGTTCACAACTTAATTCTATGTTTATTTCCAGAGAAGGAAACCTTATACAAGTTTTATGGAGGAGTTAAATCGCAAGCGTAGAGGTTCAAATTTAACGGGCGAGCGGCGCGGTTCGGGGTGAGCTCTGCGAGCACGGAACCGGCGCGCTCTCGCGTCGGCGTCGCCACTCGCCCGCCAGTCTATCGGAGCCTCTGCACTGCGCCGGTGTATTCCAAGCTCTTTTCCATCCATTGCACTATTTACTCGATACCGACCCTCATATCGTCAAACACATTTTGTGAATTCACCCCGACTGCGAAGTGTTGTTACTGTGCCAGTGCGTATTTAATTTGTGAATTTTCTTTAAAGCGTCGTAATTCCGCGCTTACTGACGCCGGTTTTATTTATTCTTTTTCAACTACAGGTAAGGAATCGCATTTAACTGGATCCAAAATAAAGTCTAAAAAAAAATCCAAAAAAAAAAATAAAAAAAAATTCCAAACATGTTTTAATCTACTTTGTTTTCTGTTCAAATAAAAAGTGTAGTTTTTATAATATTATTTTGATCTGAAAAGGATGGGACGAAAGATCTAGTATCTGTTGCTTATTCCTAGAATTTAAATATGGAATTATAATATTACATGGAATTATTGTACATTTAAATAAATAAGAATATATCTAAATAGCGAAAAATCTGTGACTATTACAGTTTTAGTTAATGATTACCGAATTACCTTTCCTAATATTATAAGAAACACTGTAGTACTTTGAAAAGGACCTCCTAACACGTTTCTTACAAACCGGTTCGTTCAATACATGCTGTTTCGCCGCCAAGACTTATGCAATAGACAACAAATGAATCTTTAACCAGAAACATAGCAAAGTTCATATCTCTACGATTTTGCCCATGAGAAACTTCAAATGGTGCAATAAAAATGCAGATATAAGGAACATTGTGAACAGTAAGTTATGTAAATAAATAAAGAATCAAGGATCATGCGGACCATTGGACGTGTATTGCTTGCCAACAATATCCAACGATTAAAGTCAAGCACATTCCTTACGGAACATCTGCTTATAAAAAAAATATTGGAGATTTAGCGAATGAAGCCGCAGCTGCGGCTATCCACGTGACGAATGTCATCTCAAATATTATGTTGAAGATTTAATAATCATACGTCTTAATATTATATTTCATATATACACTGATTCAACTTACTTATAATATATTGTTTATGTCTGTAAGAAATAGAATTGAAAGACTGAAAATGTGAAGACCATCGTTGAATACCTAATTATTCCCTTTAAACAAAAACAAATATCTTAAAACATTGACAAAGACAGTATTTATTTATTTTAAAAATGAAATACTAAAATATACACATAAAAAAGTGTATTTGGTGTCACATATAATATTTTTAGATATATGTACCATTTTTGTAGATAAGAAGAGTCTAAGACAACCTAATACAAAAATTTATCAAAATCGAGCATCGAATTGTTCAGACCTAGTCTTACTCTTCCAATGTATGTTGTTAAAATATAATGAAATAATTAATAATTAAATTTCACGATTGTAAATTTATAAATCATTGAAGAGTGACAATTTTAAAATTATCGTAAAATCATCCTGGAAGGAATGTCCAAATTGTTTAGATTATAATATGTGGTATATTTTTGTTTCGTTATGAGCAACTAGTCGCTTTCTTTTACTTAAACACTACTTAAGGTATGTATGTTGGTAAACTGTCGCCAGCCCAACGAATAGTTGCACATAACATATCGATCATCTAGCAGACCGGCGGCGTTTCGTGAATTAAGCACATTGTCCGCTAATTACAAAACAAACGAATGTTAAATACCCTGGCAGTATAATATTATGATCAATATATTTTAAAAGCTTGCGTGAAACCGATAAATAAATCAAATTAGATTCCGTCGACACGGTGAATGTAGTAAGTCAATCAAATCATTGTCATGTGTATTTTGTATTATAGTTATAGGGAGTTTAACCTAAAAATAGATTCTTGAATTCCTCGGCTCACGCCGATTGATAACATATCAAACACGTTGTTGCAAAAGTCGTTATCACATTCTTGACGGTCAGTCTATCAGTTTATGCTAATATATGCTTGATAGTTCGTTGGAACGCAACTGTCTGCTGTGTCAATGGAACTGGCTATTGGTTGTTTATTTCCGATCCTACTCTGTGCCAAAATATATTATGTCGCTAGTTACTTTTACATCGATTTTGAGTGCTTAAAAGTGCATTGAACTTCAGAAACCACTGTCCGTGTATAATTAGCCGACACAATTCTATTCGCGCTGAAGCACTTGGCACAGAATTCATTGTTTTAAAATTTGATCTTTCATTATGTTCCCCCTATAAAATTAAATCGGTTATAAATCCGTATTAACCCCGGTTTCGGATGGCCTACTTAGTCCGTAGAAGGCTCTGCGGTGACATTTCGCGACGGAATAAGTAGACGCGTTGTCGGCTGGAAAATTGTGGCAATTTCAGAGAGGGGATCTCCCTTGAACATAATCAGTTTAATAGCTGAGGCGGAGGAAATATGCTATCACAAGCCGAGGCTAACAAAGCATAAATATCGTTTTCAACTTTTTGAAACAAAGTTTATTAGATAAATTAAATAAAGGCAAAAGCCTAAATAAATTTATATGAACAATGGGTTACCATTTGGTAACCCATTGCTCATATAAAGTCTATTTATACGGCACGAGTTAAACTGTGTATCAATATATATAAAAGATCATGTCGTAGTTATATGAACAATTATATACTCAGCAATGTAGAAAATATGCATTTTGTTTGAATTAATTAAGTATTACTCGGTTTACGTGTTATGTAAATGGTATTGTTGTGACATCATCGGCTAGCACCGGCCAACCGGGGCAAATGTTGTTCTTGCAATTTCCACGTAACGGGGTCAACTCCCCTGAGCCAAGGCAAATTGAGGAAAGGTTTTCGTAATACAGATGTTTCAAATATTAGCCCCAAGGGTGTCGTCGTGAGTATGGTCATACACAAACTCATTCCCGTGATTGTAAGTATGGTCACATATTAACTATAAGATTGTTGTTTAAGTAAGACTTTACTTAATCTTAGGGTCGACCGGTATATGTAAGAGATTCATCGTCAATACTTAAGTGGTTTAGCTTCATCTGTTATCGTTTAGTCTAGAGGTGGACGAATGAAAATCATTGTTTTACTTTTTGAAATAAGACAAAAATTTAGCGGAAGATATATTTTTTTTTAATTCGAATAAACCTAAACTTGCATGTATGTATGTATGTATGTATTTGTAACAGGAATAGATATACTTGATCAAATTGAAACCATATTGTAATGATATGTCTAATTATTAACCCTAATAAAAAACGGTGTACTCGTATTATGTATATATATGGTAATATCTTAATTGCAATCAATGAACAACCTAAGGAGGTGTTCGGTGGAAGAGCTGTGCAAGGGGCTGAGACGTTGAGAAATTCTGATATTCGTATGCAGGCCGGTGGTGCGGAGTCGGCGCGATCGATACGCGCCCGCGCGACGACGCCGCCCTCGCGGCCAGTCTGCCGGCAAAACACACGCTCGCAGCAATTTAATCAAATCCTATTTCTGAATGTCACCCTAAACAAATACAAAAATCTAAACGTTAAATTTTCTTACTGCACAGCAATGTGTTCTTGGTGTGAAAGAAATTGTTATAGAACATAACAACAAAGCGAGTTTGTGGTTGAGTTTGTATGAATTTCGATAAATTTGATTTTTTTTTTCCTTCTTAATTTATTTCTATTAAATATACGACTTTGATCGCAATCTATGAAGATAGAAAATTGTTTTTGCAAAACTTATAATTTACAATAAACATAGATTAGAAAATTACTGAGAGAAATTGTCAGTACCTACATCGTTTTAGTATTAGCAATCACGCGTAAATATGAATGTTTACAAGACAAGGCATCACATAGTATTTAGTCCAGCATCTACAATTACCTGCTTTACAATCTGTTCCTACATTATCTGTGACATTATCCCGTGCTGAGCTGCTGAGTAAAACGAAGGGTATTATTTTCCAGCCATCAAGCACCATTTGAAGTGGCAAACGCTATTAGTACCCGAAGAACTTTCTACCTGCATAGCTTTCGAAAGTAAACCATTATATGCGTGTTAATCTACGTTTCGTTAATTGCATTTTCAACGGTTATGATAATAAGGCTGTACCACGTTGAGCCCGTAGGAATCAGCGGATGTAGCCGAATTATATTACCGTATATGATAAATATTTATAAACGATGACATCACAACTGACGACGCCGGGGGCAAAAAAAACCGAGTTGACACAAGTTAAGGCGCGAGCAAGTAGCTCTCCCCGGCCAGTGACCGCGTAGCCGTGATCTTGTCGAAATCAGCGTGCTATTGGGTCCACTAAGCTTGCGTAAAGTAAAAAAAAAACTAGAATATACCTGTAATATGTAATATATAAATATAATATTTTCTGCCCTAAAAACAAATTATAATTTTTAAGATTATAAATAATCTTAAGTAACGTGACTTTTATAAAAAAAAATTGCTAAGAAAAAATAATTACCTACGTACGTATTTAGCTGTAAGTTATTCTTTGAATGAGTAAAACATAAACATGGATCTAGTTAAAACATCTTTGTACTGTGTTTAAAAGGTCAATAACAAAATATTATTCTTTTAATTTTTAATATACGGTTAAAATAAATAAATACCTTCCCTTCCTTCATAGCTACTCTATAAAAAATTAATGAAAAAAATAATATAAATATTATTTATATTAAAGGAAAGGACAGCAGGATTCGGATAACGCATGCAAACTTGTAAACATATGCATGCACTGCGTCTCTCAAATTTAGAAAAACTAATAAAGAATTGTATTACTGATTTCCTTTGTTTATTTTTCTGATGAATAAAATTTCAGTCTATATTTTTAAAAAAATCCCTAAATAAAACAATTAAAAAATATTAACATTTACTTAGCTAATGTTATCATGTAATAAACTGCATATCCCTTGCTTATTTCCAAGAATGCACACAAACTATTTTCTCTGGGCAAATGGGTGATAGGTTCTCTTCACCTGCTTTCCATATTCATATAACGGATAATTGCCTCACAATGTAATTATTATTCGAAAATACTTCTGTATTGTAATACCAGAACGTAACATTCATAATGTAGGTTAGTAAAGCACAAATGTGCTTAGAAATAATTATAAATAAATGACAAGGGCAAGCGAAGTTCGTAGCATCGTATTGATTTTATCTCATGGTCGTGCTATATTCTGTATGCTCTTATTATAGGGTTCTACTTTATATTGTGGCACGACCCAGCATATTTAATTTATCTAAAAATCACTAGCTGTGTTGTAGCATTC